TTTAAATGATATAGATTTCTGCTCAAAATTTAAATGAAAAAAAAACTGAAATAAATTCTATGAATATTCTTTCTGGATATTGGTTTAAATAAATTAGTTAAAATATGCCTACAATATAGATATTATTATTTCAAAAAGATAAGTAAATTAATTTATACTCAAAAAATAATATTAAATGAACACTCTTTATGATTAATTTGTATTTTTTTGGTGCTAAATTTCTTTAAGAAATGATAGATTAAAAGAAGAACCTAATCTCTACTAAATTGATAATTTAATTTTGAACTAACCTAAGAGAATTATCTAATAGCCTTTATTTAATTTGAATAAACATATTTATCAACTAATCCATTAAAATTTTCATCAGAATTATTTAGAGTTTAACTGATGAAGTTAGAAAAAATACAAAAATTTATTCAAAATTAACTTAAATATTGCAAAATAACATCAATCGACAGATATTCATGAACTATATTGAGTGAGAAAATTTTTCAATCACAATCATTTTATTTTATTGTTTTAGAAAATTAATTTTTAATTAAAATTCCTTACATTTTTTTTATAAATATAGATATACTTAATTGCAAACAATGTACTTTAATATATTAACAATAATTTACAAGTTAAAGCAATCTCTTAATAATACTGATCGAAACGATACTCTATCAAATCACATTGTTTCTATAAAAAAATGGTTAGCATCTAATTAAAAAATATTTACTATTGATCAAATACTTTTTTTATTTCCATTTATTTCAAATCATTAAATAATCAAAGTATAATCTGAAAAATTCCTCATTTGATATATTAATCTTACTCGAATTACCTAATTGAGTATTAATATATATATATCTCGTGTGTATAAGTCAAAAGACATAACCAAAAATTATAAAATGATTTAGATTTGCTGATTAGATATGTTAATTTTTAAATTACATTGACAAAAACTATTTATTAGCTTGTGATAATAAAATATAACATACAGCTGATAGATGAATGAGTAGGTAAGAGAAGTACCTCAAAAAAGATTTCATATAAAGTCGCCATATCTACCATTTTTTTAGCCAATGAAGAAATGAAGAAGGAAGCATATTGAAGATTACAAGAATACTGATAATATTTTTCAAAATAATATAAAGCATGCTTTATTTTTGTTTCCTAAAGATATTTTTAATCATAGTCCAATCAAACATCTTTTATATTAAAAGTCTGAAATTAGAGAATACACATTCCTTTTTTTAATTTAATATTATTATTTAGGATATTTCAAACCCTTCTTTTTTTTTTAGGGAATTACATAATACCATCTGAAAAAGTGATCTTCATAACTTTTAAAGTCCTAAGGAGAATGAGGATTATTATCAACTTCTCTTTAATGTTTCTAGAAGTGATATCTTTACCTTTAATCAATAAATAAACCTGTACAAGAATTGGCTGAGAGGAGAGAAATTTCTTATTTTCGAAACTTTTTTTAAATCTATGATAAATAAGAAATTTGAGATAATAAACAGAAGGAAATTTTAAACAAACCAATACTGTTCTCTTTTGGTGCATTTGAAGCTATAAAAAGGAATTCTGCTGTCTTCTTCAGGTTGTTTATTCAGTTAATTTAAAAAAAAATTATTAATGATTATTAAATTGTTTTCTGGCGAGACCTAACATAAAGATAATTATTATTTCATCATTTTCTTTTATATGGAATTATGAACTATGAGTTTTAACATTTAATTATTTAGATCAAAAAATATCTCTTAAAATACAACGTTCTTTATAAAATGGGAAAATTTGTATATTTAGGTTTTAAATTTTAATATTAATTATTCTTTAATTAATCTTAAATCAACTTAAAATTTTATAATCTTATAAAAAATTAACTTTTTACACTATACCTAATACTTAATCATGTAAGTTTCAGAATTAAAAATTAAATAAGGAAAAGATATTTTTTTTAATTAAATTCTAATTTTAAAAGTAATAAAATTTAAGAAATTAAATTAAACTTAAGTAGATTAAAGGATTCACCAAATTGATTAGTTATTATGATAATAAATATCGTTATAAAAGAACGAAGAAAAAATCTAACTCAAAATGATAGGAATCAAGCAAAAAGAAATGAATATGAGTATAATATAAAATGAATTTTGTATATAATTTCCCTGCAGTTATTTTAACTTTAATGTTTCTCTTATTAATTCTATCTTCATCTTAACCTAATATATTTTACTAGCATTTCTGTGAGAAAGTTTTGTATTTATAAAGGAAAATAATAGTTGCTCCAAAAAGAAATCCAAAAGATATATAGAATAATAACAATACTCCTAATAAATAAGAACTTTGAGTTTAAAAGCACATGCATAATATTATATTCTATATCTTCCCATTTATTTCAAATTGATTAGCGAATATATTAATAAATTAAAAAATCAAGGAAAGTATCTAAGTTAATAAATATATCGGGAGAATATGCATGCAGACTAGGAGGAGAATTTGTGATTGACTTATTAGACTATCTTAACAAATTATCCAAATGCAATTTAACCAGTTATTTAAAGGAATAATAACTCATAAAAAATGAATCTTATAATATATGCTAAATAGACATTAATTAAATACTTGATTATTATATATTCATAGGCAGAATATTTGTATAAGCCATAAAGAAAAAAAATTCTGAAAGCAATTGAATTAATTTAAATAATTAATTAGGTGGGAGACAGTGTTTAACCGGAATATTTTAGTGAAATATATAAATTAAATATAATCAAATTTATTTTTTTTGTTTTAATAATTATTTGTATTTGTAATAAGAATGATTTGAAATAATCTGAATAATTATCTAACTATTGTATAAATATTAATCCTCTACTTATAAATGCATTTTAAGTTTGATTAAAAAAGATGAGATGAAATTTAAGGAATGTCTTGAGCTATCAAAATAAGTTACTAATCAAATTGATTAGTTTTAAATAATGGGGCTATGCCAAAAGAGCATAGATATTTTATTCAATAAAGAAATTAACCTGATATATCAATTAAAGAATTAGAGATAATATTTTTAGGTTTTTTATTCTATGTATTGTTGGGTTAAGCATATTTAATGAAAGAAGATAAATTCTAAAGCTAATACTTGGTTTGATGAATTATTAAAAGTTATCCTTAAATGTCTTTAAGCTAAGATGGATAAATCTATTTTAGAGTTTGGGTATAATAATAATTAGAATGTTAATTTTTAATAAAAGCTCTTTGTGTTTTAGATAATTGGATAGAAATGATGAAATTTTATGATTAAATATTTTGTAAATTTATATATTTAGTATTTAATCAGTTATAGGAAAAGGTCAACTTATTATGTTTAAGTATAATAATTAAATAATAAAAAATTTTAAGAATACTCAAATTAAAGAATAAAAATTTGAGATTCAATAATAAAGAAAATCCTATAAAAATAAATTTAAAAATAATCAACATAAACATTCATTTAATTTCATATTAATATTTAAAAAATGATAAAATTAGTTAGGATAGCGATTATTATAAAATGTTATTAGTAGGAAATAGTTTTGCTATTATTTATATTTTTGCAATTTTGATGCTAGTTATTAGTTGCTCATTCTAGCTTTCGATATTGTATGAAAATTGAATAAAAAATTGTTGTTAATTGAAAAAAACAAGTTTCTACTAGATCTTACAAATTTGTTAAGATATTACTTTTTGGCTATCAGTAATGTTCATTCTTTATATTTTTGATTTAAAAGTTTTGATGCTTCCTTACAATATTATTAGGGCTAACTAATGATAAACGTTTTCTCCCTCCTAACTAGCAGTTGATGAATTGTTTATCTTAATCAACTATAGCCATAAGTTCAATAAACATAATTAATAATAATATTTAAAAAAATAAACTTTATTTTTCATCTGAAAATTTTTTAAAAATTCATAACAATGAGACAAAAATAATAAAATACGAAAACAGAATGAAAAAGTTGTTAATAATAATAAAGAAAATTAATTAGCAAATAAATGTGATATAATATCTAATTGGTAATCACATTATATGCAAAAATTAGTGCTAATAAATATGATTTTACAAAAGAATCGCAGTAGTACTAATCTCATGAATTCAAATCTAAAATAAGTTTTTATAAAAGATCAAATTGAAGAATTTGTAAAGAAATCATAAATCCTAGAAATATAGTTATTAAAATATGTAATTGTTGTGATTTTTACATCCTGCATGATTTCATTGTTTATTTAAAAATTTTAAATAAGTGCCTCTCACGATCAAATATCAGAAATGAAAAACAAACACTATAAATTAACCACAGAAAGTCAATCTGTTTCATTTATATAAGTGAATTAAACGGGAGTTTGACAATTAAGGTTTATAAAGCAAATTCTATTAGAGACAAGTAATAGGGAGAAAACGGAAGTTGTAAAATGGTTATTTCTTATTTATAAATAATAGTTTTATATTATTTATTTAGAAATGTAACATATTATTTTCAATAATTTTATTTTAATATTTTCAATAAGATGGTAAATAATGATTAATTATTTCAATACCCTCAATGTTTTCAGTTTCCTATTATTCTTTTTTAAGGCTTTTTTTTTTTTAAAACATTTCACAGTAAACTTGTTTGAATAATCCGTAACTGCAATATATTTAAAAATTTAGTAATGTTCTCCAAAATATATAACCAACGGGTTTATAATATTTATCAAATGCATTATGTCTATGTTCTAAATCAGGTTTTCCATCATCAACTAATTCTTTTTATGTGTCTTTCCTTACCAGTATGACCTGTTGTTCCATTCTCGCCTATAAGTATATTTTAAACTGATCATTACCTGAATTAAGTCCAAAATCTCTAACTGATAATTCTAATCCTTTCTAGTATTGTAAATGAGGTAGGAATATGTAGAATGTTGTCTTTAAAATGTTTGAGCCTAGCTTATATTTAAATATAAAAATTTATGATTATTTGAGTATATAATTAATTAATTTATTTAACTAGACAAGGACATCTTAACTAAAACGGTTCATTACAAGGTTGAAACCTATAATATTTAGCTAAATCAAATTCATTTATAAACTTTTGAAATTTTAGTATTGGTCCTATCTAAAAAGATAAAACTAAAAAAATGATTTTCAATAGGGATAATTATGATTTTAAAGATTAAGAAAAACCTTTAAGCAATTTCCATTATTAAAATATAATTTTCCCTAAAATAATCAACTTTTTAAAAGTAGAGCTACTTTCCAAAGGTTAGCATTTAACAATATTTTTAGTTTCCTAGCCAGTAATTGATTAATTTTTAAGCTAAATATAGAATTAAGTTAAAAATTCATTTATCTTGATACTAATATTCTTAGATAAATTTATAAAAAATTCTAGCACCTTCTATAAGTTATTTTTTCTCTCACATATTTATTTTTCATTATTAGTAATAAAATGGGAGATTTTTAAACTCCTTTATGCTATTGACTTTTAGATTACAAGATAAAAATACTAATATTTGAATTCAATTCTAAAGAACAACCTAGACTTAAACCTTTATGTAATAGTAGGTCTATTAAAACTTTTTGAACTTAGTTTGATCTTTAATCCTTTCAATATATTTTTGTAATAAAGGTTTTTTATTAAATAATCCTATATATATCCTTGGCAATATCTTTATTTTTATCAACGCCAGAAGTTAATTTATGTATTCATAAAATAATATAAAAGTCTTTTTAAACAAAATTTAAAATCTCTGTTATTATTGATGTTATGGCCTGGATATGGCTGTTTTTATTCAGAATAATAATTTAATCATTTTCAGATAGGATAATTTAATGTAACTCTTCATAAGTTTAAATATTTGGTAGCTGTTTAATTATGAGTTAACTTAATTCAAAAATTTATCCAAATATTTCACAAAATCTCCTTCTTTTAATGTTTTTATGAATAAATAAATCACTTAAAAAATTTTCTATTGCATCCCATGTTTCCTCTCCCATTTCTCTACTTATCCATAATTGAGATCTATGTGCTATTGGATTTATATTCTAAATTGATTCAAAAGGTCCTCTAGTTTCTTCATATCTTCATTTGATAATATTAAATTCTCACAAGCATCTTTCGAGATCAACATTGTATCTATTATGTCATACACTCAATTGTTACTAATTGTTACTCCTTTTAATCATCTTCTCTTCTATCTCTTTCATCCACCATTCCTTTGTCAAATTTATATATTCCTTCTATTTATCTGTTTCTTTTTAAATTTTATTATTCTCATAAATGTTGCCATCATCTCATTATTCATGACCAGCTAAAATAGAATCTCCACAAATAGTAGAACAAACATTATTTATTAAACCAAATCCATATTCACAAATATCTTAACAAATTCCGATTTGACAAACTTAACATTCAATAGGACAAGAATATTTACAATTAAAACAACCATCAAATTCTATATTATTACCATCATCACATTCTTCATTTTCTTAAATAATAAGATCTCCACATGTAATAGGAATTTCATAACAATTATTATTCATTAACATATAATTGTTATTACATTTATCACAAAAACCTGGAATGCGTTCTGGGCAATTAAGATCACAAACACATTCTTCAAGTGTATAAATAGAAAAATTATTATTGCCACAAATTTCTTAACATCAACCTAATATCAAAATTTACCCATTTTAAAACTAATAGCATGTATTTTCAATGCAAATATTACATTAGGGTTAACATCTATTATTGATTTCATTCTAAACACAATGATTATTATGTAGTAAATAATCTTTCTCACATACTTAGCAAATACCAAATTAATATTACGAAAAATTAATGCTACATTGAAATTTACATTCATGATAAAATATCACATTCTTCAGTATTAGTGATGAAATTATCACCAAAAATTGATTCACATTAATTTGAAATCTAATTTAAATAGAAACCTTTTGAGCATTAAATAACACTTTTATAATCAAGTTCATTTCTAATAGTTTATAAACTGATTTATTATTATTATTAATCTAAATTAATTATTCTAAAACACATAAATAGAGCACTCTAAAAAATCCATCCAGAAAAACAATTTATACATATCCCTTTAAGACATAAAGAACAGCCTTATACACATGAGTATTTACAATTAAAACAACCATCAAATGGAAACAAATTTCCATCATCACAATCTTCTGAAAATTGAATTATTTAATCTCCCCATAATATTTATTCTAAATTAATAATATCATATGCCTAAGTATATTTGAATATCTCTTATTCCAAATGACTCATCAGTCAAATCTTAATCTTAAGTATTTAAAATTTGAACTAATGCATTTGTTGATGAATGCAAAATTGTAACTTCTACATTTAAATATACTTCTGGATTTGAATTTCCACATAGACTATATTAATATTAATTAATTAATGATACAAATAATATAACCTTTACTATCATAGCGAAGAGATCCATATTATTTCACCATCAACTTTTCATATTATTTAATCCTCTATTTCCCAACTATCAACTTTTAAGTATTTAAATTTTATTTTCATCTTCGTATGAATTGGTAATGAATAAAAATTCTTAAAAATTAGCTAAAACTTTTAATAAACTTTTTACATTTGCATTTTTTTTTTATTACTTATTAATTGTCAATATTCCATTCTTCTATTTCAAATAAATAAGGATCTATTTCTGTATAAAATGAATCAACAAGCACCCATAATAAACAATCTGACTTTTAATCACCTTAAGAACAAATCAAACATCCAGATGGACATTAATAAATTTAAAGTCTGAAATTCCTAAAACCCCATGATTCCTTTTTTAAAAATAAATTATACATCAATGGATTTGAATTTAAAGTGCTGGATAGGTATAAGTTTGTTGATAATCTCAATTTCAAATGAAATATCCTAGATTTAATCATTAAAAGACCCAACTCCACAATAATCACGCTACCCTAAAATTCCTTTATATTCAACATTATAAGCAAGCTCTTAGTCAATATAAACCTAAAAATATTCATAAAAGTCCCATGAATCAATAATATTGTTATCTAAATAATTAACAAATACAACGTGAATTCAATTTTTACTCTATAATGAGGAGGTAATGATAAAAGTTTCATAGCAGCTTGGAATTACCAAATTTTGTATAACCTCCTATGATATTTTTCGTGTCACATGTCGAAATCACAGTTGAAGGGTCTATGTTGATAAAATACCAATCCATGTTAATTATATTGTTAACATCTAATTCAGTTATAATATTTATGTAAATGCTGAATAATATAGGCTCTGCTAATTACTAGTCTCTAGGATAATTACAATCCAAAAAATCAATTTAAACTAAAACATTTCGAAAGCTTTGTTATTTAATTAAAGTTGATATAATCTTTTTGTAAGTTATCAATTCACTTTAATTTAAGAATATTCTTATAAGAGTGCTTTTCTATTTTTATAAAACAGTGTTTGATAGACTGAATCATAGGGATTCATATAAACTCATTAAATATATTAATAGACGAAGAAAATCTTAAGATATAAGTCAAAATGATATTAATATAATTCAAATATCAACCTCATTTTAAAATAATAATATTTTTGTTTACCTTGAAGAAGATAACGGCTTCTATAGTCCTTTTTAATTTGAAGTTTCAATAAAATAAGTAAATTTAGTAGTTCAATTGAACAATCCTATTATTTACGCTATAGATTTTGAAAAAATTTTAAGTTGTTCTATATTTAAACATCATATCTATACAAATTATGACTTTGATTTCAAAATTAACAAATAAAGAATCATTAATCAAATAAGAAATTTTAAAATTGATATCAGTAAAATTTTTTCTAGGAAAGGTATTTTTAACAAAAATTGACACTAATAAACTAAAATTTATTTTTTTAGTTTCACAACAATAAAAATCTTAAAAAGTAAGAAAAAGTTTTTTATGTTTTTTTTAAAAGCTTTTATTTATTCTAATGAAGTTGAAATTTTTTTCAAATTCATTAAGTAAATATCAATTAATAATTGATTAAATTTTCTTAAAAAATTTTCCAACCAAATAACAATATGAGTTTATAGAATAATTTATACTTCTCCTTTTAAAACTAATATTACTTTTCTTTAAAATTATTTGTTAGTTTTGAGATTCATTTAAGATTTATAAATTAATTTAAAATTATTAATTTCTTACCATAAATAAAAATTTACAATTTTTAACAATATATTTTATTTAATATTAAATAAAGCTTTAAATTCTCTTAAAAATAAGTATATTGTTTTGGCTACTGAGTCAATTCAAATAGCTTAAATTTTCTAGTAACAGTACATTATAATGATTCAAGATTGAGAATAAAAAGAAAATCTTTCAAGATACATGAATGATATTCAAAGAAATGATTAATTCATTTTTAGAGGATAAAATGGAAAAACCTTGCAATTTTAATTTTTACAATTTTTCAATATCTACAAAAACCCTTTTTCTAGCTTTGAGAAAGTGTCTTAAAAGTTTCAATGAAATAATAGATAGAATCATAATAATTAAAGAAATTGAACTACCTTTATTCAATTATTAAAATTAGTCTTATTAATTGAAAACTTAAATTTTAAGTACTGTGATTTTTAGGATATAAATTACACCAAAACGGTTTTCTAGATCCAATAAGCAAAATATTAAAAATAATGTAAATCATGATTTTTCTTCTAGAAGTTAAAATAGAAAATTGAAAATTTTACCAGATTTAGCAATAAGAAGTTACTCTATGATATAATTTCATATGAATAACTTATGATATTACAGAAAATGTCCCTCATTTAAATTAATTGTCAATAGAATATAAAATTAATAAGACAACACAATCAATTGAATGCTAGATGGCAATAACAATAGATTGCTATTTATCAATTACTGAAAGTTATAATGTCTTATGTATCAACTTTATTAATCACTGAAAATGAATTCCAAAGTGTTTGAATTCAAGGATTTAATTATGATTGTTGCTGAAAGTCTGATTACTTCAAATAATGAAAGAGAATTAAAACCTTAAGCCTTTATCTTAACTTAATTGTTATTCTATTTATTTTTTTTAATACATTGATGAAATTTTTCATGTATTCTGTTGTATAAGAATAAAAAGCAATTAAAACATTTGAATCCCTCATGGTAAGACTTGTAATATAGTCAGCCAATTATGATGGGATATATTTTATTAACAGGATTCTTAGGTTCATGATGGTAATGTAGTCTTTATATAG